GGGGGGGGGGGGAGAAATCTGTAATACTGTCAATAACAAAAAATAAATTAAAAAAATAACCTAAAATTGTTATATTATTCTGATAGTGTAACAGTAACTATATTTTATCTATCTTATGATATAGCATACAAGAAAGAACATATTTTTATAAAATAAGAGACTGTTTCAATATAATTGTATTAAGAGTTACTTAATGTGCATTCTTTAGCAATTTTATTAAAAACATCTTAATAGCTTTCCAAAACATAGTCACTTATGAGTTAAAAATATAAAATGACTCATTTATATCTGACAAGAATAATGATTAACTCAAAAACAAAAAGAGACAATGGGAAAATAATTTTTCTTTGCCAGAAGATAAATAGTAAAATATTTACACAATCCATTCATCTAAAGCAAGTAATATATTTGTGATATATTTCAGAATTATAAAATATGCCCAAAACTTTTACTGACAAGATCATCTTTAAATTTATATTTCAGAAACTTGGTGTTCATGAAGATGGAATATATGTTTTATAAAATATTGCACGTTATCTTCTTTGCCCTCTCTATACATTTAAACAAAGTTATAGAGTTAAAATTATAAAGTTAAAATCATAGACTGTCTCTTCTTTTGACCTTCACCAATATCATGAAAGTATTTGTTTAATATAAAGGCTGTTAACCTGTTTTTTGGGTGGAGGGTTCAGAAAATGCTTTTGAACTCTCAGAAAAGCAAGAAAAAAATATGCACATGCATTAAATATTCTACATCCATACACTGAGCAAAGAAGCTATTCTTCTGGACATTTGCCTTAGAAGAATCACAGCCATTTCACTATTAAAAGAAACGTGTTCTTAAAAATTTGTTCCCGTGTTATTTACATTATTCAACATTTCTACAAAAGAACAATGCGTTTGTCAGTATTGTTACATAGAGAACAAACAATGATCATAAATTCTGTTACAAATTTTTGGGTCAGAATAGGAATACATTTGATGTTAAGAATTTTAACGCCAAGCTTCAGGTATTCTAATTCCTTTTTCCCCTCACACTACTACAAACTATAAAATATAATAAGAAAGATTTTAGTAATAGAACTAAAATCAACTTTACTACTAAGGCACTGGAACATACTAGTTTTAAAAGTAAAGAAGTCACACATCAGCATAAGTATATAACCATTCATGAAAAAATGTTATACTAAGAATTATGGTGAAACATTACCAACATGGCCAAATATCATGTTTTTCTATTAATACATTTCCTTTTATTAAAATAATTACCAAGTTTTAACGATGATTCTAATCAATGGATACTTTTCAAAGCATACAAATCATTTGGTATTTAATATTATATCCATGCTCTAATTTCATCGATATTAAGCTTACCTTTCCTTTTGGTCCAGACTGCTTAAAACATGAAAAAGAAAAAAAATGTAAGAGGCAAGACCTCATTTTTGATATATCACTGTAGTTTTAGTAACTGTAAATAAGGCAAAACTCTAATGTGATTAATTTGTTTTAAACACATTATATATTATGTTTTGAATCTTGTCAGATATATAAATTGTTTTTCAATTTTTGTCAACACAGAAAATACTTTATATCTAAACATATTTAAAGAAGAAAAAAGGATATACAAAGATATGAAAAATTCTTGAAAGCTTTAATTAACCACCCAACATTTGAGTATATATGTTATTTTATAGTTATATAAATAATTCAAGAAACAACACAATTTCCTGAAAGTTATACAAACATTTAGTGGTTCCAACCCTGTTATTAGATGTGATTATTTGCTTCTGAGCAAGAAAAATAAATTTAAGGTTGAAACTTTTGCACCAAAGCCTTAGTATATGGTTTGGGATACAAGGAAAGGCGTGGGATAAGGTCATGGCCTCTAATCAAAATCCCAATGTATAAAAGATCCACCTTTCTGCATAGTTCACAGAAAACATAAAAAGCTATCAACATCAATTACTTAAAAGTAAAGTTATAAAAGCCCTCAATTTAGAATAAAATTCACATTCTAGAAATATTCCTCTTTACTATAAAAGGAACTAAATATTCAGAACTAAGCAAAACAGTTGGCAAAATCCTTAAGTCCCCATATTAACTCTTGTATTCCTATCATGTGGAACACACAGGTAAAACCAATTTAATCCTAGCAAAATAGAAAAAAAGAAAGAAAGAAAAGGAAATATGGTAATTTGGTTTTACAAAATCGACATTGAAAAGAAACACTAATTTTTAAAATATATTTTCAATAGTAAGAAAAGCATTACTATAAACTTACATGATGCCATATTTCAAATTTTACCTTGGCTATTTAAAAAAAATGGAATGATCTGTATAAAATAAGTTTATGTTGTATTATAAATAACAGAAAAATGAGGGAATATGTAATATATCTAATTTATAAGTCATGGAACATCTATAATTTCCTCAATATGTATTTATTATCAAGTCCTGCCCTAGAGGAGCTTACATACTTAAAAAAAAAAAAAAAGCTTTTAACAAATGGGAAGGAAGTCTAATTAGTAAGGTAGGACTTTGTAAAAATGTCAACTTATATTCTTGTTGGGCTATCTCATTCTTGAACTAGTGATGTATCAGTGCTCTTAAAATTTAAAAGAAAAATAAAGAAAGGAAAGAAGACTGACTGATTGATTCTGGTGTCCATGACTTGATTTAGGACTTCAAAAATTCATTCAAATTGCTTTTCATTAATAATTAAATCTTGCTTATTACAGGAGCCCATTTTCCCATTTATGGTGTATAAATGCTTTTGTAGATATTCATTTTCCCCTATGGGCCTTACAAGTCTTTTTACCTACCCTTAATAAAAACAAACAAACAAACAAAAGTGAAATGTAAACAAAACATAAACCACTAAATGTGCTTTTGTAGCAAGACTGATGAAAACTAGAGGTGAAGATGGTATCAAGTTATATACATTTTTTAATTTTGGCTTTTTTTTCCATACCAAATACTACCCTCCTCCTCCATCACTGTTAGTAAATCAAGAACCCATCTTTTAATATGAATTAAATTAACATTTGAAATAGCAGTAAGAATATAGGCTGGAATCATAATATTCTCCCATAGAGTAGCTAATTTGATCTGATACTTTAACAATCTTCATTCATTTCTTTTAGATTAAAAAGGTGTGACATACTTGTTTCCATATCTTCAAAAAGCAGGTCTGATTTATTTACGAGGTAAGTTATACCACACTCCAAGAAGAATAGACTGTATGTGTGAATTACTAACTGGTGGCATTTCCTTTAATTTCAAATTAAGGGTTGAAAAAATAAAAATTAGGAGAAGCTATAAAAGTCAGTGTGCTACCCTCACCTGAGGCCTACACTAATTAAAACCAATAAGCAACTATCTTTTTTTCATGACTTTGAATATGTGGTTTCTACTGCATGCAGTGTTCTCATTTATCTAGTAGACTCAAAAGTTACTTTAATATTTCCTTTGTTAATTTTTTACCCTTCCCTTTTCTGTAAATAGTACTACACATACTTTGTATATTTCTACTACTGCAATTACCATGCAATTGTTTGTTCACTTGCTTTCTGACCTCTACCTTAATCAGACCTGAGCTTTAAGGCAGGGACTTTGTCATATTCATCTTTGACTACTCTGTACCTCACCTATGCCTGGTATGTAGTATGAAATGAATGTTTTTCAAGGAAGAAAATTGGAAAAACTCTCAGTGACTTGTCTGAATTTTAAAATATTTTTAATGACGGTTACGCTGCAATAGGAGGTATAAGAAATGTTTATTCTATAAATAAGAATAAAAGTAGAATCTATCCTGCTGACAAAACTTTGTGTTTTCCTTATCGTCTCTAGTTTTTCTAGTCAAGTACTTTAACTCAGGATTGTTTCTTTAAATATAAACTAACTCAAGTTTTATTTTTTTATTTTTAAGAAACATTTTACTAGTGAATATCAGTTCCTATTAACAGAATCTAATCTTTCATGAACATGAGTAATGGTACACATGCATGGTATAACAAGTGTGCAGACCAGGAATAAAACAAAACAAACCAATTTCCAGAATAAAGTCAGTTTTTTAACATAAACAATGAGAAAAGGGGAATTAGGAGAAGTCATAGTGTAAATAAATCCAAACTAACAAACTTCAAAAGCAATAATAATTTTGGTTGCAGAACATATCACTAGATCATAAATTAGTATTTCAACTTAGAGCACATTTTCAGAATATCAAGAACACAGATCTTTACCAGCAGTGGAATCTATCAATGTGATGAATGTGTGAGAAAATTATACCTCTCCTTCTTCTTTCCCCCTAATTACTCTCTTTTTCTTATTTAGTCTCTTGTTTGTGCCACATGTAGGCCAGAGAGCTGGATTTGTTTGTGTACTTTGTAATAAAGCAAGCCAATTTTTGGTATGTGCAGTGACTTCTCTTCCTTTTTAGTTGAATTTCCCAAATGTTTTATGTGAAAAATATGATTAAAAACTGATATATTTTAGTAAAAACGGGTTTTCTTTACTATCCTAATACATGAGAAAGATTTAAGATTTTTAAGTAAAAAATGTTATAGAAAATCTATGTAAATAGTAAACATAACAACGGTTTGTAATAGGACATTTTCTGAATGAGTAGCAGCCTAGATTAGTATTTTTAAATAATGAAGAATAGCATCTAGCATATATACCAAATCTTTAAATTTTATTAGTTATAAAAATTTTTATGTAACAATTCATAATGCAAGAAATAAAGAGATTATTTAATTGTTGGTGTCCTAGAATTTTTAGTAAACTGAAATTGACTCAGAATTGAAATTTCATAATCATTTTTGGATGGTTATGAAAAACCTCAAAAGCATTTAAAACACCAAGCTTTCCCCATTATTTCAAGATTCAAGTAGTACTTTCACAGCCAATGAGAACATCAAAGTCTATTAAAACTACTAAAACACAAAATTTTCTAAAACATTTAAAACTAATATTGCGATTTACTTTGATACTATAAAATCCTATGAGCCTTATAAAGAAAGTAAGGTAATAACTGTAGTGTTACTCATCAGAGCTAAACTACCAGCTGAAGATTTCTCTGTCAAATACTGTAAGTTCCAATGTAATAAAATCAGTGTAACTTAACTGGAATATAATGCAATAAAATGGCTTTCATTTAAAGGACGCATAGGACATACTTCAATGTGAGGTTGGGAGGACAAGAAGAGACAGACCTAAGAATTTATATACTTGTATGTACAGTCCATGGACACGGACAATAGGGTAGTGAAGACTTGAGGAGGGTGGGTAGGGGCTGGGAGGGGGGCGGGAATGGGAGATATCTGTAATACTATCAACAATAAAAAAAGTGTATTAAAATATAATAAAAAAGGTCTCTGTGATTTATTCAAAAACAAATATAAAAGAATAAAATTCTATGACATGAGTTATTTCAGAGACATGATTTTTACAAACAATAGAAATAGTAAAATTTCACAAATTTAAAAAAATGGTTTTAAAAAAATAGTGAAAAAACTCCTATTAAAGGGCATGGTATATGTATACTAAACAAAGGCAATTAGAATCCGTACCTTTGAGCTGCTGTTTTTACAACTGGTGTCTGTGCGTTGGCATGATGAAAACATCTACCATCAATAACAGTTCCAGAACGTAATGATGCATTCTGTGTATTTTCACTACAAATTCAAGAAAAAAAAGAATAATTTGAACAAGGGAAAATTACATATACATATGCAAAATAAATCCTTTAAAATCCGAGTGCATGCAGAAAACCACTTAAAAAAATGTATAAACCCAACTGGCCATGTTAAATTGTATATTAAGAGTTTTCCACTTTCTGAATTTATCTCTGAACTAGAGGCCCAGTGCGTGAATTCGTGCATGGGTGAGGTCCAGCCAGCCTATCCAGATCGGGCCAGGCTGGCTGGGGGGAGGAGCCGCAGGTGGTGGGTGGGAAGGCCCTGCCGCTGGAGGGAGGGGCCAGGGCCAGGGGGAGGGGCCACGGGCTGTTGGCCAGCTGGCCCTGCCCCCTAGTCGAACTCCAGGTTGAATTCCTGGTCGAACTCGAGGGGACAATTTACGTTTAAACTTTTATTATATAGGATAGGATGTTTCCAATCCAGTTTATGAAAGATGATAAACAGTAGAACACTAGAATAGAAATCATGAATTCTAAATAAATGCTTAGTATTATAAGATTTCTAGTAAATTAATTCAGATGTTTTCTGTCCTTATTCTCTATTTATAAATGAGACTATTATAAAAAGTTTTTAAACCATGAGCATTAGTTTTCTTACATGCTAAAATAAAAGGTTAATTGTAAAGAAAATAATGAGTCCTAAATTCTACTTCTAATTCTGCCACTGACTAAAAAGTTACTTAGCTATTATATACCTCAGCTACCTGCCTCTAAATTGACAAAGTAGAAATGAAATAGTGATTTTCAACCCTATTTCTGGAAGATGTAACAGCCTGTCATATCAGTAACAGTAGTTCACTAAGACAACCACTAAGAAAGGTTGAAGTGCCTTTACCTCAACTTCTTTTTGTTGCTCAACATGTTAAGTCCAATTGGGTTGCCCTTTAAAGGTTTAAAATTTTCAGACTTGTTTCGTCTTGCATATATCTTCCAAGAATCACCAGAACCAGTAGCAACAATTTCAGATTGACGATTTAACTGTAAAAAAAAATCCATAATTTATCAACAACTATTTGAAAACTAATTTAATAAAAAGGTGGTACTAGCTATTAGGGAGGGGTGGGAAGGATGGCAATGGCATGGATAGAAGAGTAATTCAACTATGCTTTTATTTCCTAAGGACAACACACACATAAAGGAACATGGGTATTTATGAAATTATTATCTTTTTTACAAATATATTTTTATTGATTTCAGACAGGAAGGGAGAGGGAGAGAGATAGAAACATCAATGATGAGAGAGTATCATTGATCAGTTACCTCCTGCATGCCCCACACTGGAGATACAGCCTGCAACCTGGGCATGTGCCCTGATCGAAAATCAAACCATGACCTCCTGGGTCATAGGTCGATGCTCAACCACTGAGCCACGCCAGCCGGGCTAATATTATTTTCTTTTCATTTAAATATCTCCAAAGATATTTGAGAAGATTAAAAGAAAAATAGGCATGCTCTCTCCAGAGCACACCTACACCTTTCCTTACCCCAAGCCCCAGGCAGATTACCTTTGCCTTTCTCTCTCCTAAACTCCTAGAGCCCTTCTTTTGCTTCTGTAACTTATTTTCTGAGCCTATGCAGCCCAGTTGGCTCACTTCTACTACCTCTGTAACTTTCTAAATAAACTTTCTCTTATAATAATAAAAAAAAGTACAAAAACAGAAGGGATGAGAGTAAAGGATCTTAGCATAGCTCTTTCCCACAAGAGCAAAAAATACACGTTTCCCCTAAATAACAGGCCTTGCTGATACCTGTAGGAAAGCACAGCCAAATATGCCTTCTACTTCATTTCAACTTGGATAATGACTTTGGCTTTAGCATGAAAGTTTCTATATAAACACAAAACCAGAGATGTTTTCATACTTTCAAATGATAATATAAACATATCTATATCACTATTTGGGTAGATCACAATATGACAATACAATGGCCCAACAGAATGGCTCAGTGGTTGAGTGTTGACCCATGAACCAGGAAGTCACGGTTTGATTCCCGGTCAGGCACATGCCAGGGTTGAGGGCTCAATCCCCAGTAGAAGGCAAGCAGAAGGCAGCCAATCAATGAGTATCTCTTATCACTGATGTTTCTATCTTTCTCTCCCTCTCTGAAACCAATAAGAATATTTAAAAAATAAATAAAAATAAGTATTTTTTAAAAAGACCAATCTAACTTCAAAGCCTATGCTTTCCCAAAATATACTGCATAAATTTTTATAGTGTTATTTGTAGAAATATAAATATTGTTAACAAGAGGCAAAAACAAGCAATGTTACTCCCCAAAAGACTGAAAATCATCAGGATGCAGAACATCTCAAATCAAAGGAACTGCCTTGGCCAGGTGGCTCAGTTGGTCCTGTACACCAAGGTGGCAGGTTTGATCCCTGGTGGGAGGCAACTAATAGATGTCTCTCTCTCTCTGTCACTCCTCACCCTTCCTCTAACTAAAAAAACAAAAGGAACTATACTAAAAATTCCTTTAGAAAGTTAATCCTTCCTCTTAAGAATTTTTTAGCCCGGCCAGCATGCCTCAGGAGGTCATGGTTCAATTCCAGGTCAGGGCACAGGCCTGGGTTGTGGGCTCAATCCCCAGTGGGGGCATGCAGGAGGCAGCCGATCAATGATTCTCTCATCATTGATGCTTCTATCTCCCTCTTCCTCTCCCTTTCTTTTGGAAATCAATGAACTTATATTAAAAAACAAAAAAACCTTTCTGCTAGTGGATGCCCCAAAGCAAGCATCATTGGTGTCTCCTCTCCTGAAGTCGTCAAGTCAGAGTCTCCCAAAGAGCCGGAGCAGCTGCAGAAACTATTTATCAGAGGTTTCAGCTTTGAAATAACCGATGAGAGTCTGAGGAGCTATTCTGAGCAATGGAGAACACTCACAGACTGTGGTGATGAGAGATCCAAACATCAAGCACTCCAGAGACTTTGGGTTTGTCACCTATCCCACTGTTGAGGAGGTGGATGCATCCATGAATGCAAGGCCTCACAAGGTGAATGGAAAAATTGTGAAACCAAAGAGGGTGGTCTCAAGAGAAGATTCTTAAAGACCTGGTGCTCACTTACTAGTAACTGTGAAGAAGACTTTTGTCGGTGATATTAAAGACGACAATGAAGAGCATCACCTAAGAGATTATTTAGAACAGCATGGGAAAATAGAAGTGGTTAAAAGCATGACTGACCAAGGCACTGGCAAAAAGAAAGACTTTGCTTTTGTAACCTTTGATGACTATGACTCTAGACAAGATTGTCACTCAAAAATACCACACTGTGAATGGCCACAACTGTGAAGTAAAAAAAGCACTATCTAAGCAAGAGATGGCCAGCGCTTCATCCAACCAGAGCTCAAAGTGGTCCTATAAACACTGAAAGTGGTCATAGAGGTGGTTTTAGTGGGAATGACAATTTTGTTCATAGAGGAAACTTCAATGGTCAAGGTGGCTTTTGTGGCAACCATGATGGTGATGGATATGGTGGCAGCGGGGATGACTATAATAGATTTGGTAATGATGGAAGCAATTTGGGAGGTGGTGGAAGCTACAATGAGTTTGGCAATTACAACAGTCTCCAAATTCTGGGCCTATGAAAGGAGGAAACTTTGGAGGCAGAAGCTGTGGCCCCTATTGTAGTGGAGGCTAATACCACAAAACCACAAAACCAAGGTAGCTATGGCGGTTACAGCAGTAGCTACGTCAGTGGCAGGAGGTTTTAATTACTGCCAGGAAACAAAGCTTAGCAGGAGAGGAGAGCCAGAGAAGTGACAGGGAAGGTACAGATTACAGCAGATTTGTGAACTAAACCAGGCACAGTGGTGATAGGGCCTAGCTGCTATAAAGAAGACATGTGTTAGACAATACTAATGTGAATGGGAAAAAAACCAGAGGACTGTATTTTTGACTAATTGTATAACAGGTTATTTTAATTTCTGTTCTGTAGAAAGTGTAAAGCAGTCCTCACCAGTTTGGCTCAGTGGATAGAGTCGGCCTGCGGACTAGAGTCGGCCTGCAGACCCCAGGATCGATTCTGGTCAAGGGCGCGTACCTCTGTTACATGCTCATCCCTGGCGCTGGTCGCAGTGCTTGCTGGAGGCAACCAAATTAATGTGTCTCTCTCACACCGATGTTTCTATCTCTCTGTCTCTTCCCCTCCCTTCCACTCTAAAAATCAATGGAAAAATATCCTCAGGCGATGACTAAAACAAGAGTGTAAAGCATTCCAACAAAAAATTTTAATATAAATTTTTTTGCACCCATGCTGTTGATTGCTAAATGTAATAGTCTGATCATGACGCTGAATAAGTGTGTCTTTAAAAAAAAATGTGCTCAAACCTCAGAGGGAAGGTAGGGGAGGGTGGGGGTAAGGGGGAGAGATCAACCAAAAAACTTATATGCAAGCATATAGGCCTAATCAATAGACACAGACAACAGGGGGGTGAGGGCATGAGTGGGGGGGATAGGGGGTAATGTGGGGATAAGGACACATATGTAATAACTTAATCAATAAAAAAATAAAAAAATATAAAATAAAATAAAATGTGCTGTGTAAAGTTAGTCTGCTCTGAAGCATCTTTGTAAACTACCCCAACAGTGTGAAGTTAGAATTCCTTCAGGGTGATGCTGGGTTCCATTTGAAATTTATTTACAACCTGCTTGGGCACAGAGCATTGTCTTCAGAAACTTTGGTGCAGTTGAATTGACAAGTTATTGTGCTATGATCTGGAATTCACCATTAAAAGGGTCACCCAAGCAGAGTCATGTAGTTTATTTGGTTATTAATGATTGTTGGCACAGACTATACAATATATCTAAACTGAATTACAGTACCAGGTAAAATTATAGATGGGTATGAAGTTTGTGATCATCCATTTTCATGTGTAATCAATAAACAATTTAATAACCTCCTGAATGACAAAAAAAAACAAACCCACAAAGAATTGTTTCAACTAGCCCTGCTGGTGTGGCTCAGTTGGTTGAACATCATCCCATGCACCAAAAGGTCACTGGTTCGATTCCCAGTCAGGGAATAGTGAAATAGTGTCATGAAATAGTATTCTTTTGATTTAACCATTCAAAAAATGTAAAAACTGTTTCAGTTCATAGACCATAGATTACAGGTTGGATATAGTCTGTGAGCTTTGGTTTGCCAAGCCCTGTATTATAACATTAATCATTAAGTAACTAATGAGAGTAGCCAGTTACTAGAATTTAAGCTCCACAGGAACAAGAAGCTTGTCTGTTTTTCTCCCTAGCATTTAGAATACTATGCTCAATACATATCTGCTGCATGAATACATATTTCATTGGGGCAGCTAAATGTACAAAAATTGTCAATATGTGGTATCTTCGACACAATCATCACACACCACATAGTGAATTTAACTAAAAAACAAGTATTCAGGAAATTTAGCAACTAAGAACTTCAGGTAATAAAACCTAAAAGAATCTACTAAATTATTAGAGACATTAAGGCATTTAAG